TGGGTGAATTAAACAGAAAATTGGGGTTTCCTTTTCCGAAACGACTTCGGCTTCGCTGGGGGCGTCCGACGGAACCCCCCGGGAACGATCCCGACTCCCGGGTTTTTCCCCCGCCCCTCCAGGTTACGAGGGCTACAACTACGGCTACGGCTACGGGCAGGACGGCTCGGGAGCAGGGTATGGATACGGCGTGGCCGCCGGGAATTCCTGGGAAATGGGCAGCTCGGACGCCGAGCCGGCCCCCGAGGGCGGCGGCGACGGGCCCGGCAAGATGGGCCACCAGCGGCTGGACGGGGGATCCCACCCCGAGCCCGAGGGCGCGCCGGGCGGGCGCTACGGAGCCGCCGGGGACAGGTGAGCGCAGATCCCCCTTCCCGCCCTTCCCGCCTCTCCCACACGGAAAATCCGATTTTTTTCTCGTTAAAAAGAACCCTCCGAAATTTGGGGGGGTCGCGGCGAGGCACTGGTTGGAATTTTAGGGGGTGTTTGGTAGGATAGTTGTCACATCCTTGGTTAAAGTCCTTGTTTTCCGCCCTGTCTTCTTCCCAAATTCCTTATTTAGGGATGTGCCCTGCGGGTTTTGAGCCAGGGCTTGGTATGGTTTTAAGGGAGTCAAAGAACGTTTTAGAATAATAATAATAATAATAACAATAATAATAAAAACAATAATAATAATACAAAAAAGAACAATTGGGAATCAGGATGGGCCTGGGTTTTATCCCATTCCAGCACTTCCCAACCTCCGGAATGGGCACGGCAGAGCTGCCCGTGGAATGACCTGCCCGTGTCATTAAATCAGATTGATTTGATTTGGTCCCTTGGGGGGGGGTTTATCCACCCTGGAAAGGGGTTGTTGAGTTATTCCCGAATTTTTATCCCCCCCCAAACCTCCCCCTGGGCCTCTCCCCTCGGATCTCCCGCTCCGGCCTCCGGTTGGGGATGGGGTGGGATTGTTAAAAGGCTGAAGGAATTCCTGCTCCACGTGGGAAGTGAGGAGAGCAGCGGGAAGAGGAGGGGGAATCCCTCGGGAGCTGCTCCGGCTGCTTCCAAAGGATTTCTGGATGAGGTGGGACCTGCCCTGAGGACGAGCAGCTCCTGGAGCTCCAGCTGCTCCTGAGGGAGAGGTTTGGGAGCCAGGACAAAGTGGGGATCCTTCATCCCAACCTGAAGGAATCTTTGCTCGGAGGGGGGGCTGGTTTTTAGCCTTAATTTTAGATCATTCCGGAAGAGCGGGATGGTCTTTGGGGCTCCCTGGAATCAGGGATTCCCTGTGTCCCAAGGTCTCCAGTTCCTCCAGTGCCGGAATCCTGAAGCTCCATCAGAGCTCGTTGTCCAGAAAAAACTGTGGCTGCCCCATCCCTGGGAGCGTCCAAGGCCTGGTTGGAGCCACCTGGACCGTGGAAGGTGTCCCTGCCCTTGGAATGGGGTGGGATGGGATGATCCTGAAGGTCCCTTCCCACCCAAACCACCCCAGGGTTCTGCTCTGGGGACAGGCTGGCAGAGCTGGGAACGTTCCCCTGGAGCAGGGAAGGCTCCAGGGAGACCTTCCAGCACATTCCAGCGGCTTGAGGAGAGCTGGAGAGGGACTTGGGGCAAGGGATGGAGGGATAGGGCACAGGGAATGAATGGTTGATGGTTGGACTGGCTGGTCTTGGAGGTCTCTCCAAGCTGAGCAATTCCATGGAATCTCACCTGGGGACAGGTCTCAGGGGTGACAGTGGCAGCGGTGGGTGGGTGGGTGGTCCCTCCAGCCCAAACCATTCCATGATCCCATGGAATCTCACCTGGGGACAGATCTCAGGGGTGACAGTGGCAGTGGTGGGTGGGTGGTCCCTCCAGCCCAAACCATTCCATGATCCCGTGGAATCTCACCTGGGGACAGGTCTCAGGGGTGACAGTGGCAGCGGTGGGTGGGTGGGTGGTGGGACTGAGTGAGGGGATCTTGGAGGTCCCTCCGGCCCGACCCACTGGGGTGACCCCACAGAACCTCAGGGCCGTTTTCCCTCCCCCAGGTACGACCCCTACGAGTCGTACGACTCGAGGTCCTCGGTGAACGACCGCGACTTGTACCGGCCGGGCTACGACTACAACGACTACAACGATTACAACGACTACAACGACTACAACGACTACAACGATTACAATGATTACAACGATTATAATGATTACAACGATTATAACGATTACAACGACTACAACGACTACCCCGACTACCCCGAGTCGGAGCAGGACAACGACGCGTCCTACGAGGGTCCCTACGACGCTTTCTACGGCCCCCGGCGGGAGCAGTTCCAGGGCCGGGCCCGGGACGGCTTCGGGCAGCGGGGCCAGGGCTGGGGCCGGGACGGGCGGCCCCCCAGACCCTCGGGAGCCTCCCCCTACCCCGGGAGGGGCTCCTGGCCCGACCCCCGCGGGCCCCCCGGCTCCAGACGCCTCCCGTCCCTCTTCTCCCACAACATCCTGCCCGAGCCCGGCGGCTTCCCCGGCCACAGGGGCTTCCCCGGAGCGCGCTGCGCGGGAGGGATGGCCCGGCAGAGGGTCCGGAGGAACTGGAAAATGTGGGACTGGGATTTCAAGGTGAGCAGCAGGGGGGTGGTTTGGAGGGATGACCCCC